ATTATAAGCAAAAACAGAATGCTATTTCTGTTTATAGTCATAATGTGACATTTTTAGAAAAAAAAAAAAGTAGGACTCAGGATTCATTCATTTCTCAAAGGATATTTTGACACATCAGAGGCAGATTAAACGTGCACTATGTAAGCTTGGCACCCAGTGGTTGAACTAGGTATTGCATTCTTGGATCAAAACAAACGCAAGCGCATGTTGCCAGATTGATGATGTTAACAGGAGCAAGTCATGAGCCTAAAGGCTGATTTAAACTGTTGTCTAACTAAAAGCAACCACATGGGATAGGAAAGGAATTTTTTCCTAACCAAACCTCATATGCTTTATTCAAAGTAAAATGCTAACAATGTGAGTTTGAATGCCATTTTACATGACATTTATTGCCATAAGTAGCAGAAGACAGTTCACCTCAGATCTTTAAAATAAAACAGTTTGAAATTAAACTTTAGAACTGTGAAATAATGCAAATCAACACATATCAGTAATTCAGTATGTATTTTTAATAATGTTAAAGATATTTAATATGTAATAATAAGATTGTAAACCTTACCATTTCGTGAGTGAGTGCATATTCTGTGCTTCTGAATCTCTGTTTTTTCATTTCTGTCGTGCTGCATCAGGTGCAAACAGCCAAATTGCTTATCACTGCAAATCTCTGCAAAACGCAGTTACAATGTAACCTGCTCACCTAATGTTTACGCTTGTAATATTTATATTATTTGCTAATTAATAACCTCATGTGGAACTCTGAATCTGCGTCTAATTTTGGAGTCTTTGGAGCGTTCACGGGTGCATGCTTTGACAAGCATTCTGAATGAATGAATGAATGAATGAATGAATGAAATATGCTGTTTTCCACCAAGGCAACCCGGAGAGCTGAAATATAATTGGCTCAAGTGCCACTGAGCAGGTTAAAAGAACCAAAACAAAGACAGCGTTCCAGCACGTAACAGACATTTTCAAAGCAGAATATCTGACTTTAGCATTGTTTTTCAGATAAACAAGAATGTTTACTTTGCATGTTTCTTAAATATCTGCATACATAATGTTGGTATTTGTATGCTTTAGAAAAGTCAAAAAACTTATATACATCACCTTTAAGTTGAATGCTGAAAAGTTATTAATGTATAAAGTTGTGGCTGTTGATTATAAAGTCAAGTTGACTTTGACTGGAACTCCACAGTGAAGATTTGCATTTTAAAACAACTGGTTCTGCAGTGACACTTGAGTCTACTCCTGCGAACAAGTGAAAAACAAACAAGCAGAATGGATGCTGTGCATTAGGTTTCTGGGAACCTCACAGCAGGGAAAGGCCACTTGCCCTGAGCTAACAGAAGGAGGCTAATGTTTCACTTAAGGAGTCTTGCTACAAGAAAAATAGCCAGCATTTAAATTCATATTTTATATCCTTATTATGCTTAGGAAATGCTAGTATGCAGAGGAAAGGGGTGTGTGAGTGTTGATTTATCTTGCTGAAAGCAAATATGTATATATTTGTAAGTGAATTAATGAGTACTTTTTTCCCACCTTCACAGACTAGTCCATTTTCAAACAATTCAAGAGGCAGTTCAAGGTGCATTCAATAGATTTGCTATAGTCTAGTCAACCCTGACTTGGTCTGATGTGTTAAACATCCACTAAACAGCACCAAAACAAATTATTTATATTTCACTGCTTTAAACCAAAAGACAAACATAAGAATTCACATCCTTTCCATACATCCATGCTGTAAAACAAAGAGATTTAGTTTGGTTTATAGTCCAAATATCTAAAAACAAAAATCTTAAATCAAGAAAAATGTTCTGTAGAGGTACAAAAATGATTGTCTTGTTTAGAGAAATAAGATGCCAAAATTACATTTGTTTCTCCTTCTGCCAATGCGGTAAAATAATCTTGTTTTTGCTTTGAATTAAGATTTTGCTCACCAAACTTGCTGATTATTTTACTTGTTTCAAGGAAAAACTCCCCTAATTTGGACATGTTATTTCTATAATTGTGTCTTGATTTAAGAATGTTCAGATATTTAGAAACAAGCCTAAGAAACTCTGAGAAAGAAAACCGCTTTCTTTGCAGTGCAACCACAAATAAATAACCATTACATCAGGTCACCTCGACTTGAACAACCTATAGTCCCTGAATACATCATATCCAGTCTACTTTGTTACAATGATCCAACCCATTTATCAAAATTTAGTCCATGTCCAAAGCGTAACTTGTGTACTGAGTCCAGCAGTATAAAAATGAAGTCTATCATAAAAGGAATAACAGCAGGCCACATGAGGCAGTACTTGATAAATGGATGAGAATGGACACACTAAAACCTGATGGTGAATTATAAATGAGGAAGGGAGAAACAATGACGGGGGAGACAGAAGCGAAACAACGGACCCTAGAAAACCATAGAGAGGCATGTGTGACATTTTGGTATGGGTTAATTAGCATTTGATCCCATTATGCATGACCAGCTGGTATAATTCTTTTTTTTTTTCACGTAGTAACACACACCTGAAGCATCAAGCCAAAAAGGGAATGCAAGTGACATCTCAACATTTTCAACTCATCTAAAAATATTGCAAATGCCATTTATTACTTGCTCTGAATGACTCAGTCGGACTCCAGCTGGGCCAATTAGGTGTCTAATTCTATGTTTCGTACGCAGCGCTTGGGTACTGCATTTCAAAGTGAACGCCTGACATTAAAAATCATGCTTGAAAGAAAGAAGCCATTTAGGGAACAGGTTGCAGTGTTCGGCTGACATCACAATCATCACAACCCGCTGATCAAAAACAATTTAATTTCATTAATGTCTCCTCACAAAAAGAAAAAGGGGCGAACGATGAAACATGCCTTCAGTCGAACAATTAATTCCAACAGTCAATTTCAATTTTAGCTAGCAATGTCTGAGAACACTGCAGCTCTGCAGGTTTAAATTCTCAAATAGGTTGTTCGTGCAAATCAGCGCTTTCATGCGTGACAGTGATGACTACATCACTATTGCTAATGGTGATGAGTGAGTATCTTGGGCAATGCTGTGTCTGACTAACATACTGCCACTGATTCAGCACTGTAAAAATACCTGGCTTCAATAAAAAAACTGAATATATACCTCTGTAAAATCACTAAAACACACTTTTATGGTGAAGACTACTAATTCAATTCCTAAACACAAAAAGCCTGTGAATTGTTTGATTAGTCAGTATGTTTATTAACCCAGTTGGGAACCCTTGCTTGGTGTTTCTTTATTATTAATTGTCTATTATTGCTTCTGAAGCAGCAGACGCCATAATCCCAATTGCCAGCACTTTCTTATTTTTTTATTATTATTATTATTTTTTATTATTGTGGGCGTAGTTTAATTTAGCAGTCCTTTTTTTAATAATGATTTTTCACGGGTTTTATTTGGATAGAACAGTGGAGATTTTACAGACAGGAAAGTGTGGGGAGCTGAGATAGGGGAAGGATCGGCAAAAGACCTCGAGCCAGAATCTAACTCTGGTCACCGTGAGCACTTCTGTGCTTTGTGTCAACGCACTAACCACTAGGCTACTGGCGTCGACAGTTGCGCAGTTCTGATTGGGCAGATCAAAAGTGTCCTCTCTCAATTGGTTAGTTATAAAGCCCCAGTCAGATCACACGATTTCGGCACAATTTCCTTTGCATAGGGTGACGTGGGGAGTCATAAACAACAAATGGACGTTGTGACACAAGATTCAATCGTTTCTTCTTGTGTAATGACAACCAATACCATGTCGGCGATGGCTTGCAGAAAGTCTAGCATGTTTAATTTTCTGAAGCATAATGGACAGGTTTTGAACCATTTCACCTCATATGTTATTCGATATTCTTAATTGCATATATTTATATTTTATATTGCAGCCTCTTGCGATTAACTAATCGCAGCGTTTCAAATTGCGATTGCGATTCGATTGATCGCACAGCCCTACCTTTGTTGCAGACAATCCCTGATCAACAAATAGCTAGTTCATGCCAACTGAACTGAACTAACTATAGCATACTGTAAAAACCTGACTGTTCTGAAACGTTCATACAAAATCTATAAACAAATCAACTAAATACACAACAATCCTATAGACAAATGTACCAGCAAAGATTTGTCAACACCTGCATTCAGTCACTCTTAGACTGCCCATCTTTCACCAGGTTAGTCATGGAATGAGGATTACAGGACTCCAGGTCCTCTATCCTGTCATTATCCATGCTTCCCCAGGGGCATCTCAACAACATGAACCTGCAAACTACAAATCAGGCTTGAGAGTGGCAAGGGAGCACAATGCTAATTAACATTCTTATTACTTGGAAACTAACACTTTGAACTGGAAACAAAACATAGCAGGATCATTGAAAGAAGCATGTATGGAAGAGATGTATGGCTATGAAACAAAGGCAGAACAAAGGTTGAGACACATGCTAGTCAGTTACTTTCTTTTTTTTTTTTTTTTGAAACCAAGCACTACAGCTACCTGAGACCGCTATACTGTTGAAAATGATGCCCTGTTTCACATGCGCACACACTCGAACTTCTCACCTACGATGAAAGGGCAGTGTGCTATCCAAACACACCAAGTAGCACTCAAAACAGCAGCAGCTCAGCAGTGTACACCAGTATGGCCATAAATGTCCACTCTAGTGCACATTTAATGGCCAACGCAGCATTAAACACACTCTAAATCAATAGAAACAAATGGTGACCAACTAAGGCCATCCATCAGACGAAGGTAGTGGGGCGATTGCACACCCATACCCTTATAAACACACTTGCTCTGACAAGGAGCCTCAATAGCTGCAAGCTTAAGTCCCTCCAGGAGTTTATGGTCTGCAGATAAAACATTCATTCACCCCTCAAAGCTGAGTTGCTCATGTTGCCTGCCATAGGCTTGTGATTTATGCAATAGTAAAACAATGACTGATACCCGAGCTCTAATCCCCCCCGTTACTCCCTCCCTTCCCAGTCAGCTAGCGGTAGCACTTACGGTGCAGGTGCTCAGAAGCATAGTAATACACGTCCTCGTAACCCTCATGGTAATCCTCTTCAGGGCGGTACTTTTTGCCTTTGCGTCTCCTGGACCGCCGGATTTGCTTGACAAAGCCAAGAAAGCGTTCCATGCCTGCCCACCGCGTGCAGTCCCACTGATCCAGACGCAGACCGCTGCACTCAGCCAGCGTGTGTGTATGAAGGTGTGCGCTGTGTTTCACAAAGAGCCTGGCTCTGAGAGATCTCAGAGAGAGAGAGAAAGAGCGAGACAGAGGCGGAGAGGGAAAAAAGGAGGGGTAGGGAGGTGCAAGGGGGAAGCGATGGTTCGCAGTCAGCTGGAGAGAATGGGTCAAATATCAGTCTTCTTCAGCGCACCAGTCTCCTTTAAGAAAGCATGCATGGAAAGGTCCTCAGTCAACAGCTGAATGGGTCTTTGTGCATGCGTGCAATCACGTGTAGGTAAGGGAGAGAGTGCACAGGGAAAGAACAAGAGAGAGTGACAGAAAAAAAAGAAAAGGGCGGGGGAAAACACACAGGGAAGTGAGAAAAACACAAAGTTCAAAGGAACCAGCGAGGAATCCTTGGGCAATGACTGTCTCATTCCAGAGTGGGAATGGGGAGGGGGGTTTGACTGCATTTAAAATAAGCATGAGTGTTTATCATCGCAAGAATGACAAACAAAGCAGCGGTGCACTAGCGGGGTGTGGGTGGAAATCTTTGAGGGGCGCCCTGGCAATTCCATCCAAAGACAAAAGAGATAATTCCACTAGATGGAAGGGGGGCACTGTGGTCACGTGTAGCTGGCGTGGAAATGACAAAAAGCTGAGAGGATTACAGCACTTTCCAATTCACAGTCAACACCAACCCAGCCAACCAGTAATGTCTGGATCAGCTGCTAATAGCATTAATGGGGTTAGAGGACTTGTTAATAGAGCTGTTGGCCAACAACGACACCCAGTTGTCTGTCAGTTAACCTATTAATCCAAAAGTGGTGTTTTTCACATCACCCCAGGGTGATTACGGAACTCCAGAGACTTACAAGAGCCCGTTTCCATTTTGATGATGTCATTCTATTTGACATTGGAAAACATTGCTATTGTCTTCTAACCTCCCTCAACTTTTCATGTTGGTATTAAAGATGGACAACCATCCAATTTATCCACTGTGATTGGGCTAGGTTCAGTCTAAAACACACCACTGGAGAATTACACCGTTCAAAGCACTTGTCAAACGCATGTGTTTTTTTCTGTGGTGTGGTGCCTGTTCCTTTGTGCAAGGCAGCAGGGGGGCTTTCTATGTTTGAGACACACTAGCACATATTGTAAGATGTTATAATCCACTCTTATTGATTACTTATTTTACGTCATGAATTTCATTTAGCATCCTTTCAAAACAAATGTATAAATTACTTGATTTGTCTCTGGTTTGCATGGAAGCTACAGAAAGAAAAAAGGGTTAAAAGCTGATTTATACTTCTGCGTCAAACGTATGCTCCGGCGCAGCCTTCGCGTGATCACATACCACTCTCCGTGGCTGACGCGCACCTCTCAAAAAAAAGTTTAACTACAAGTCGCAACAACGCATATCACATGCTCTGTGATTGGTCGACTTGGCAGCTGTGACGAGTGTGGGCGGTGCTGAGAGCCACGAGCCCAATGGAGCGAGTGTTTACAAGTGTAGAGTCCCGTGGAGAAGCTTCAAATGGTCACTTTTGTGTAATGTTTAACTTATGATTAAAGTTATCCACCAGTTCCCACCTCTGAGCAAGTTTTAGCTACTTGTACATTAAGGTAGCATTCAGTAAAAAACAACAGAAAAACATAAAAACCTACTTCCAGCCTTTCAGAAGTATTATTGCAGAGCAACACAAACAGCATGCAGAAGTCTACAGTAAATGCACGGCTACGTGCAAGCCAGGCGGCGTGGGTCATGCCGATCACTTGACGCAGAAGTATAAACCAGCCTTTAGACAGGAGACAGTAAATAGTAAAAAGATAGCATCAGTAAATACACACAATATCAGTTTATGCAAGAGATATTATCATTTTTGTTTACAGTGACTTTCGATGGCCTTGTTTTATAGTCCATTTACTGCTGTCCTGAAGCTGGAGCCAACTGGATGATTCTCAAAAATCTACTAACACTGAAGAAATGTCTATTTGTAGGAGAGCTTAACAATTCATTTAACCAATTAAAATGAAGTCCACATAAACAGGATCTAAACTACCTCTAATATAAAACATTGCTTCTCTGATTGTTTGCTGATGAGCAAACACATGCTTTCTCATCAGGGAACGCTGCATCCAGGGATTTCACAGCTTCCACAATTTGAAGACCCAGCCTTGTTTATCCAATCTGTTTGCCACCTGAAGCAATCAATGCACATTCAACAGATTCATTATCGTTTCAGGAAATACAAAAATCTAGATGCAATCTCGCTAGCGGGTGGGGTTTTAATTAGCTATCTGGTCGCCACACCTGTAATTAGACATCCTGAGTCCTCAGCAGAAGCCAGAGTTTGGATTGGGGGCAGCTGCTCTTTGCAAAACTGCAGAACAGAGATGGTATTCTCAAGCACAGGCATTTGCGAAGCGAGTTCCTTTACAATATAATTCTTGCTTTTATTGGAGACGTGCAATTCACAATGCAGTAACTATTATTATTCATGAGATAAGTGCATTGTAATTAAGACTATGACTAGGAGATGGTGTAATTAGGACTAATTTACTATATTTCATAATATTCCATCTGGTACTTCGGAGTGAGAGAGGTAATGTGAAGCGTAGAGGAGTAATAATGTTGTGCTGGTTTTGTGCTTGTATGTTATGAGGATTGTGGCAGGGTTCCAGGTGTGAGTCTCCCCTGAGATTGTTTTCAGATAAACCACTGCAGTAAAAGCCAGGCTTTAAACAGTGAGTGTGTGCCAAGCTCATAGTGTCTCTGCACCTAGTCAGAGCTAAGCATTTGCTGCAGTCACCTTTCTCCTGCCCAGCTCACGAACCAAAATATAACTTTGTGTCTTATTTCATTTTTGGCTCAGTTCCATTTGTATGGTAAATGCTGCGGTAGGTGCAGAGCTGCAATGGGAGTCATTTATAATGGCTGCACGATGAATTCTTTTAAAGGAATAGTTCACCTAAAATGTAAACAGTTCTCTTTCGGTTATGTGAAATGAAAAAGAGAACATTCAGCTTTTTTATTCTATGGACCAGGACAACATTTAAACATTCTCTTTTTTTATTATATAAAAGACATTTGAAATTATATGAGGTCAAATAATTTTTGGGTTCAAATTTGTTCAGCAGAGAGGCATTCTGTAAGTATGACTGGGATTGTGTTTGTGTGTGCGTGTGCGTGTGTGCGTGTGTGTATGGGCAATTCAGACAGAAATTCTTAAAATCCTCACTTGAGCAACCATTTGAGCGTGAACTGCCTGAGGCATTTTCCACAACCAGGGCTATGCCAGTTTGTTGCAATATGGTAGCTCCTCTTTGGAAGCAAATCCATTGCCTGTGCAGAAGAAAAAATCTGTCCAGACTCTCCATTGGCTATGAGCAAATGCTTCAGATCGTTCAAATAGCATCTCAGTAGAGGCAGAAGGATGCTGACAGGTTAAATTGTTGTGTTTACACAGTTATTTGAACTGAGGCATTCAGAAGTCATGCAGGATTGCTGAGTCAAGTGCTTTATACCTTCACAAACAAACCAACCCACACAAATGTAAGTTTAGTCTTCTTGAGTTTGCTGCCCTCTTTCCCAGTGCCCACAGTCTCTTCCTCATGGCTGAGTGAAGCTCTGCCTTTACTAATTTATCACATCTGCAAGGTCTACACTCATTTTGCCCTTAGCAAGTTCCACAAAGTAAGTCTATTTTCATCCCCTCTGCTCTTGACTTTTTACTCATTCAAGATGGCAGTTCTGCTCAGGGTAGAGAATCCTTCACTAAACCAATGTGCTGATGACACCTGTAAGGTGCTCAACTCAAAAGTTGAGTTAACACAAAACTCAAACTGGGATCAAATAAAAATTGAGAAGGTTCACAATAGGGCTGTGGATTTTGGGAAAAATATCTAATTGTGATTATTTTCAGCAGATATTACAGATATTTATTTTGATTTGATTTGCGATTTAATTTTGTATTCCAGCATCAGCCTAATAATCTGTATTGTAACTTCTAACTGCTAAAATGCAGTGAGTGGAACTGAAAAGTTATTGACTTATCTTAGCAATAAACTCTGAATTTGTACTTTGCTTGCTACTAGAATAAGTGTCACTGGCAATACTTTTAGTTGACATTTTAGCAAGACGCTCCTCATATAGCCACCTGTGGTGCTTTTTTAGGTGCTGGTTGTTGTATTTCCTCATGCTGTGAAAACAATTTTGCAACAGCTCTTACAAATGACCTGATTTTGTTTGGTCTTTGTGACTTTGAAACCAAGATATTCCCATTTTACCCACTTGCTGTTTTTCTTTGATATTAGTTCGTCGATTAATTCTTTTGAAGTTTCAGACGCCATCATTCCACTCATTCGCGCCTTCCAGTTTGTTTGTTTTATTATTGTGGGCATTCCCCAAAGTTTGGTTGAGCAATTCTGATTGCGCAGACTGAAAATGTGCTCAATTGGCTAGTAAGACTGTCACGCACAGACGGCAGTCACACATTTGCTCTGAGTGAGGGAAATTAAGTAATATACATTTCATATTGCAGCCTCTTGCGATTAGCTAATCACAATGTTTCAAATCGTGATTGCAATTCAATTTCGATCAATCGCACAGTCCTAGTTCACAATAATGGAAGTTTCTATTATCATAACACCAACAACACTCTGATGATGACGATAGCTGAATATACTTTTGCTTTTAAATCTACTTAAAAATCTACACCATATATGGGGATGTAACAATTTACTGTGAGCCAGAAACCATTCAAATATGTAATGATTCAGTTAGGATGTTAAACATCAAATTGGTAGGGATGTTAAACAAATCAAATTATGCATTTTGAACAGAAGGGACCATTGTTTCTACTGCAAAATTGCTTAACAGGCACAATAGCAGCAATCAAGACAGCAAATTGGTTAAAGCGCTCGAAATCATGGACGTGAGCTATTATTAATCACGTGTGAATTGGTCAAACAATAAGAAAATATGAATTGCAATTTGGTTTTATTATTTGACAAAATATATCTGTATTTTATAATGAAATGTGCAGCATTTGAGAAATAATAAAAGGGCCCTTGCTCAAATTTTCAAATAATTTTGGGAGTTCAGTTTAGTGAATCGAATTAATTTGTGACTTGAGTGAATTGTAACATCGCCAACCATACCACCACAATATTGTCAAAGACATTAGTTTATTGTAACATTTCTGATTATCAACTCTTCACAATATCAGTTTGGTGACAGAGGTTGCAAATCCAACATTAGTCAGACCATCACAGATATCTCTGTAGGAAAACTGAAGTA